CAATTTAATACCGTATAGAAAATATCATTCCTACTATGGTATCCCTTCATTAGTTTTAGAAATTTTGAATTGTGTTAACTGCTCATGAATCAAGTTTCTAAACAGATTAGTATTACTTCACTTGCTTAACTTTATTTCCTTCAGAAAGGAAGGAGGAGCGTTTATAATGTTTTAGAGGGATGACTAAATAGTATACAGGGTTAGTAAGGTGATGCTGGCAAATAATAATCCAATAATATTTCTTTTATATGGAGGAGTTTTGATTGATTTTGAGAGAGGAAGATAGAGAAACATTGATTTTGTTCCACTTACTTATGCATTCTTTGGCTGATTATTTTATGTGCCCTGACTGGGGATCAAACTTGCAAACTTGGCTTATTGGGAGGATGCTCTAATCAACAGAACTACCCAGCCAGGGTGTATGTGGAATAGTATATAAACGTTTCTTCCTGTAACCACATAAAATGGACATATATGTAATATTTGTTTCTTGAGGTCTTAAGGATTCATAATTTAAAAACCAAAGTTACTTTTCAGAGCCCCAGCTAAAATGCACCTTGATTTCTGTAGTATGTGACTAGTTTACTTAATGTAATTATCATTATCTAGCATGTGAATAATATGTTCAACTTTGCTTTATAGCAGATTCACCTTTCTTTTAGAGGATCAAATTAGTTTAATTAAAAAATAGTATCATTAGTTGGCAATTTGTAGGTGGGAGTTATTCTTTCAGTGGCAGTGTGGCTTGAAGTTCAGCAGCATCTCATATAGGAATTGTTCGCAACTACAATGCCTAATTTTAAGACTTAAGTCATCAAACAAAATTCCTAGAAGAAAAAAATCTGAATAAACAAAAATTCTTCATTACCTAGGCTTCCAACTTTCACCCATAAAATTTCTTTGCCTTCCTCACACCACACACACGCATTTGCCATCCATGGAAATGGAGGGTATAAGCAACAGGGTTAACTGATGGTTAAGACTGCATATCTGATCAAATCTTTGAAGTCTCTTATATCTAATTATGCAATACTATTCCCTAAATTTGTGGCATCCTACCCTAGATCAGGAAGGCAATCTGGTATACAGAAAGAAAAAAAAAATTTATCTTTTGGTTTGAACCACAGGTTCTAAAGTTAAAGAAATCTTTGTTAGAAACCCAGCTAGCATTCCTGGGTAAGTTACTTTTCTTATTTCTTTAATGGAGGAAAAAATTACTATCTTGCAGAATTGTTGGGAGAGTTATAGAAAATAAGAATAAAGCACTGAACACAGTAACTGGCCCATAGAATGACAAATAATTGCTTTTTGTTGTTATTGGCTATTTTTGAAATACAAATAAGCCATAGAATGTGGGACTCAAACTTTCAAGGTCCTTATTTTGAAGGTCATTTTGAAGGTCAAAAGATGTTTTTTCACATTAAAAAAAAATTCCTTTGAGTCTAACATCTTCATTTATTCAAATATTTATTTGGTGCTTTTGACCTGTGAAGGCACTACCCTTAATATCAAGGATGCCTAATAGAAGAAATTACAAGTATCATCCCTTGCCTTCAAGAAACTTACACCTTAGAGGAGGCTAGGCATTAAACAACCAATTACATAGTTACCTAACTGCAATTGTGTGTGCTACAAAGATAGCCTGCTAAAGGGAGAAATGACCTAACAGGATCAGAATTTAATTTCTACACAAACATCCCACCTCCCTCCTAGGATTTGCAATCATTCCCTCTATAATTAAACCTAATCCAAACCTTTGTATAGAATTGATGTGTCTGCTTTTTTTAAACAATAAAATAAGTAATTAACCTGACTGACCATTTTTTAACTTTATTTTTTAATTATAGTTGACATACAATATTTGCTTCAGGCATACAACATAGTGATTAGGCATTTATATACTTTAGGCAGTGATCCCCCATAAGTCTAGTAATCATCTGTCACCATACATAGTTATTATGCTGTTACTGACTATATCCCCTATGCCATTTTTATGTCCAGAACTGTATACTAAAATTATAAAAACTGTGTAAAACATACAAATTAACTTTAAGTATTCCAATGGTGATTTCTTAATGAAAGGAAGCAAAGACATAAAATATAGGTAGGCACTTGTCACCTACTCACTATGAACTTCTGTTAGAAAACACATTTCTTGATAGTTATAAAACCAATATATTTATTTTATGTGCATGCCATTACTCATAATAATGACTCATGTTTCAGAATGTTTTATTAAAATAAAATATTTATATTTATTAGTGAAAAATTATTTGTGTGATTTTTAAGATCAGAACAATTCTAATTTGCTTACCAAAAGAGAATTTTCACTCACATACCTTTTTAATCTGCCACCCTAAATTTTTTTTTTTTAAATCTGGTGACATCCATTTTCAAGACAACTTCAAGATCCCCATCTTCAGAAGTTAGTACACTGCTGTAGAATTGTGCCACTAAAGTCCCAAGTAAACATAAAGGGAAAAAAACTGAGCCATCAGATCCACTCTCCCACCAAAATGAAACTAAGTTTATTCTATAAAATAGGATTTTCTTCAATATTTGTCTTAAACAACAACAGTCACCTAGAAATTAATGCAATAATTAACTCTGAAGAGTCACTGTCAATTTTCCAAAAGTGGCCCCTTCACCTCTATTTAGTTCATAAAGCAAGCCAGTCCAGGATTCCTGATGCCAATTACAATGAATGGAAGAAATATATTTAAATCAAATAGCACCATCTAGCAGAACTCTCACTACTTTGCTTACAAAGTAGATGTTACTTGGTGTGCAGTTTGGTAGAGCTGACAGCAAAAGTGTCAATTATTTGTTTTCATGAAAGAATCACAGAATTAGAGCTAAAAAGTTCCAGACAAACCAGGTCCAGCTTTCTCCTTAACTATCTCAGATGCTAATTTTTTAAAACAAACTTATTAGGATAGAGGATAGTGTCAGCCATTCCTGAAAGTCCAACTAAAATTTAAAATTACTATTATTCTCAAATTCGACCGCCCTCAAAATAAATAAGGTTATGTCCCAACACATTTCAATTCCTTGACTCCCAATAGCATGAAATCCAAATGCTCTATAGTCATTAAAACATCCTTCTCTAAAAGTTTTTATTTTATCACATGTTACAGCTAAAGGATTAATACATACAAATTAGACTGTTAGTTCAAAACTTTGATTCTAGTAACTGCTGTTGCTCAACCAGGCTATGATGCGGTCTTTTACGCATTCCTTGTCACAGCAGTAAGATCCTGAATGTAACTCCTCAGAAAATACCTCCGGGGAAAACAAACAAACAAACAACAACAACAAAAACCAGCATCTCTCCGTTAATTTTCTGCTGTTGTTTTGCTTCATCAAGACCTGCCACCCCTAAATCCTATGGGAATTGTGTGTTGCTGCCATCTCGAAGATTAGGAAATGTTCCCATCCCTAGGGCACAAGAAACTTTCAGGAGAAGACTATACTAACTGCCTAAAGCAAAGAAGGGAACTCGTGAATTCGGTTTTTATTTAAGCAGCTATTTCCGTGTGCAAGGTAAGCAACGTAGTAGCTATTGGGAGATGCTCTCGGACTTTTCCACAGTCTAAACACCCTCGGAAAGGGAGAGCACGTTCAATAGCAAGGTAAGCCTCGCCCTGGGAGTGGAAGTGGTGCCGGGGAATCACGGATCTGCGGCACAGAAAAGAAGGGTTCTTTCTCAGTGGTCACAGTCACTATTCGCTCTCATTTTTAGTAACCACCAAGTCACCGTTACAAGTGCATAAGAATAGCAGCAAACAGCCCTGCTTCGCAGTGTGCCGTGACGGTGGCATCCCGGACTCTTTTCTCGCCAGCCTCCTCTGGGATCCCACCTAAGTTAACACCTGTATCTCTGCATAACCCCGAGGAAACAACTCATTCCCACGTCTACGCTTCTCCCTTCCCTAAAATCCTTTTCGGACGACTGCCCCCTCCCCACCAAAGACAACCCTCCTCGTGCCGGTTGCCGCAGCTCACACAACACCCCCTCCAAGCGCCCCAAGACCACCGCCCCCGCCCGCCACCAGGGAAACCGCAGCCCCCAGATATCTGGAAAGCAGCAAGTCTCCCAAAAAAAGTTCGCCAGCCACCGCCGCTGCAGATCTGAGTCGGCTGCAAGAGGAAGAAACGCCAGCCTGCTCCAGCAGACCCCGCTTCTCGCCAGCACACTTTTCCTCCCCAGGAACTCGGTCCGTCTCAGACCCCCAAACTTCAGCTGCGCCCCTGGCACCCACCGTCCCCACCCCGCGAGGTGCGGGGAGCTGGGACCGCCGCGTCCCTCTGCCGGCCGCGGAAAGTCCCCACGCCCACCCGACCCACGCCCGCACACGCCCTCCGCGCCCCGCGCGCGTCTCCGCGCCCCGCGGGGCCCCGCTCGGCCGCTCCGCGCCTGGCTTCCGCCCGCCGCGCAACCAGCACTGCCGCCCTCGCCTCGCCCGGCACTCTCCGCCCAGAGCCCCTGCGCCCGAGCCCCCGCTGCGGTGCCCCTCGCTCAGTCCGCCAGACCCCAGCCCGCCCCTCCAAACATCCTCGATCCCACTACGCGCCCTCCTCCACGCAGCTGCCCCCTCCCGCACTCCCCGCGACCCCCCGCGGCTCTCCGGATCCCCGCAACCCCGGACCCTAGCTCTAAAGTTACTTTGTAGGGAGGTGAACCCTTAGGTTATTTCCCACAATCACCCAAACAAGTTTCCCTTCTCGCCACCAGCACCGCAGCCGCCCCCCAACACACTCCCTCCCTCCCACCAACAGTCCCCCACGGCCTCCGCCCCTTGAGAGCACCTCTAGGGAGACAGCCGCTCCCCGCACCGCATGCCCCCAGCTCGTGTACCCCTCCCCCGGCCAGCCCATCCCCGGCTCTCCCCGGGCGGAGAGTGTCTGTGTATCTGTGTGTCTCCAAGAGAGTGCGCGAGTGCGTGCATGTGTGTGCGCGCGTGTACAGGCGGAGGTGGGTGAGAAGCGGAGACACTTACTTCTCCCGGGCCTGGCTGTCGGACGGGACGGCGCTGCTGTTACTCTTGCCTTTGCCGTACATGCTTGTGCCGAGAGCAGCTCCCACTGTCACGCACCTGTCAACCCATCACAGCCTCCTCGGGAACAGCCCCGTCCCCATGGCGACCCACGCAGCCACCCCCACTATTGGCCGCTCCACGCCTAAGCTCCGCCCCCTTCGCCCAGGCAACGCGCGAGACTGACAGGCGTCCCCCTCCCTCCGGCCTTCCGAAGCGCGCGGCGGCGGCTACAGCCTAAGCGGCAGTCTCCTCCCTCCTTCCCTCCCTTCTGGGTTCCCTCCCTCCTTCCCTCACTGCTCTCCTCCCTCCTCCCGCTCTCCTTCCCCCCTCCCCCCTCCGAACCCCGGCGCAAGGGGGGAATTAGAAACTGCTCTAGAAGGATTTTAAACAACTGGCTGTTCCCTCCGCCGCCGCCCCTCCCCCCGCGCCGCCCGCGCTCGGCTCCTCACTGGAGAGAAGGCGCAGGGAGGAGGGGAAAGTGCGGCCTGGAGTTTCTGGCAGGAGCCGGCAGAGCTGGAACCGTGGCGGCCCCAGACTTCGGGGCGCCGGCCGAGTACGCTGACAGACCTTCAGTCTCAGCCGCCCTGGGGGACCCCCCCCTCTTCCCAAGCCTCCTCTTCCTTCCTGCTCTCCTGTCTGCGACCCGGCGCCCGTACCCAGCAGTGATCTCTGCCGCCCTCAGCCTCCTCCCTGGCGTGTCGCCCCCGCCCTGCTCCCTAAGGGCCGACTGGCGAGGGGTGCACGCGCTGTTCCCTCGACCTTCTGGCACAGCGACCCGGAGCAACTCGCTTACCCTCCGGGGGAGTGACTGCGCCTCAGGTCATTGGCGCCGCTGGGGTGGCGTCGCCTGGCTCCTGGGACCGCGCCCTGCGCCCCAAGGGAGCTCCCGGCCTTGGGCCTGCCTCCCACAAATGGCCCGGTGACTCCTAGGGCCTCAGTACTCCCCTTCCTCTGCTACTTCACGCCCAGAGCCCAGTGGCACACCATGAGCCAGCTCTCTTGCCAGATCTGCTGCACAAAAAGGTCTCAGTCATCCCCACCTGGCCTGGTTTTCCAGCCTCGACGGGTGGTGTCTACTCATCCTGACCTCTGCATTAGGAAGAACCGTGGAAGGCCTTTAAAGACACCCCTGTCGTCGTCCAGCAGAATAGGCCCCAGCTACTCTCCAAGCTCGAAGGTGTGCAAAGCCGTGCTAGGGCTGAAAGGCTGCCAGAGAATATTTCTGAATCCAAACCCCGAATCCCATCCCATTTCAGTAAATGCGCAAGTTTCTACAACACACAGACTGGTTCCTGATAGAACATCATACTTTTTATCTTGTGAGATCCCTGGATGTAAAGTCAAACAGTGCTAGTTGGATTAGAAAGAATAGATGAGCATCAGAGTGAAAGAGAAGAGGGGTGCGGGTGGGGTTTAGACCAGGGGACACATCAAGAAAAACAAATGGACATGAAACAACTAAGGGAGGGAAGACAATACATTCAAATGGGAAAAGATGTACCTTTCTACTCCTATTCATCACATAGAGCTTTTTGCGTTTAGTGGTAGGATCATAGAAATTCATGTGAAGGTAAGGAGATAGATGGAATGGAAAGGAATGGGCTTATTGTGGACATTGACAGCAAGTGATAAGAATAAAACATCAGCAGGTTCTGAAAAGGAGTTGGCAACCAAACAGAAAAATGGGGGCTGAGGGGGGGGGGGGGGATGAAGAGAAAGGATCTGCTATACTGGTGTTAAGAAAAGTGAAAAAAAATGGGAAAAAAGAAGAAACAGGATTAGATGAAGAAGCCATGGAATATGATAGCGAAAGAAGATGACCAAAGCAATAGAGGACTGACATTAGAAAAATGCAAGTACTTTTATTAAAAAGACAAAAAAAAATCAGCCAATAGAACTGAGAATAAAGAATGAAAAAAATCACAATAGCTTAAGTTGATTAATTTCCAAGAGAAGTAATTTGCCATTTCCTAATTCAAAATTCTCCTTTCTCTTTACCCAGATTTGTTATATGGAAGAGTACTTTGTGTAATGGTATATTTTCTGATATTCAAAAAAATAAGAAACATAGATCTGTACAGTGGATTATGGAATTCAGAACAATTTGGTCTTAGTATATGCAAAAAATAAAATGCTAAAAGGTATTAGTTCAGAACTTGCCAAGTTGATGACAGTTACCTTTACAAGAATGTTATCCAACAAATATACAAAGTGAAAACATGACTGTTCCTATACAGTGATCTACAGTGATTTGGTGGTGGGGACATGGAATCCACAGACTCTAAAGGTCTAGAAGGAGTGACATTGAGCCAGTAGGCCTCTCTCTTATGAACTATTGCTCAAAATGCTGAAATGTGTATAGAGCTTCCACTGTTTACACACTCTACCTTCAGATTAGCATTATGTAATTTGTTGTTCAATTATCTATTTTCATTGGCTTTGATCCAAGATACTATTATTATTCAAGGCTCCATCACCCATTGAACATTCCCTACAAGGTGCTGCTTAGAGAATGCTATCATGGAATGAGTTTCTGGCAGCTGCTTGCTGTTCCATGCTCCTGCCAATACCTGGAATAAGGTAAGGTTTCCATTAAAAACCAAGAGTGGACTTTGTACTGTTATCTAAAAACAAATTAGTTATTATCCTTACTCTGGTGTTGGGATTCCCTAACCATGGTTCTCAGTTGTGGAACATAGAATTGCCTTAGGATGATTTATTTTGTTGTTTGTCTGGGACCTCACTAGAATAAATCAGGCTAACTAAATCAAAACCTTGGGGTTGATCCAGGCATCTGTATCTTTTAAGCTCCAAGTGGTTTTTAAATATAATAACCAGGGCTGCTTAACTCTGCTCTTACTATCCGTTTAAAGACAACTAATGGGTACCCTCAGATCTCAGAGTGAGATTTTTTAGGCTGTGGATATACATAGCAGATGACCCTCCTCATGTAAAACATTAAGCCATCTTTACGATGGACTTTACTTTCTACTCATTGAGCCAACAGATTTGTTAATAGCATGAAAATGTATGACCACATGTGTTCTTATAGTGCAAGACCACAAATAGCCGTGGTTTAATCTGCTATTTCCTAAAGAGAAAGGAAAGTGAAAGAAAACAGTACAGGCTGTTTGCTCTACTGCTGTAATTTATTCATTTGATTGTATTTTACCCAGATTTGTTATATGGAAGAGTCCTTTGTGTAATGGTATATTTTCTGATATTCAAAAAACAAATAAATTACAGATCTGCACAGTGGGTTATGGAATTCCGAACAATTTGGTCTTAGTATATGCAAAAAAATAAAATGCTAAAAGGTATTAGTTCAGAACTTGCCAAGTTGATGCCAGTTACCTTTACAAGAATGTTATCCAACAAATAGACAAAGTGAAAACATGATTGTCCCTATACATGGTATCCTTAAAGCCTAAGTAATCAAATCAATTACCATTAAAACATCTTAGCAGCTACCTGAACCATCTCTGTTTTATTTTCCTCAGTGTTTACACAGGTAAATAAAATGCTTCTTTGCCCTTGTACAAATTATTTTGAGTACAAACAATGTTCTTTGCATCAGCAACTGGATCTCGTGGGGCCAACATTGTAATTAATGAGATTTGAAACACATATTCAGAGCCAAATCTGAGATCTCAGATATAAAAATGAAGATCCATTGTTTTATTTTCATTTTTATAAAGGGGGAAGAGATAGAAGATTTAAAGCTTCCTAGTATAAAGAGTCACAATATATTTTTTAGAAGTTTTGGGCTTTTTAAAAAATCTCACACGTGAGGCTGATTGATTTTGGGAAGCTGGACTTGTAGTAGGGAAATGCTGACTAGCTGAGCCACCAGAATAGAGCATTTGCATTTGAGGTTGATTTTTTCAACTTTATTCTTTCAGATGTAGAATACCACAGCACTCAACCATTAGGTCTCCTCCCAAGCCCGCCCCCCGCCCGCCACTTGTGCCCATTTTGTTTGGGTTCTGATACACAACTTTCTCTTTCTGGAATGTTCATCTTATTCTTGCAAGTCTTTATCACTTTAGAACAGGCAATTCATTATACCACCCTACTCAAGCCCTAGATTGACTACGCATTGTTTGATCCTAATTTTTTCTCTAAAACATTAATGTTAATAATGTCTATATTCGTACAGTGCATGAAACTTCAGAAAAGATTTCCATTGCTATATAGAACAAAGGAATTTCTTCTTTATGTTTAAATGGAAGGTAATCATGAATTTAATTATTTGTGTCACATAGAGTATCATGTTAACTTAAAGAAAAATATTTAAGGTAAGAAATCTTTATTTAGAAAAATTAAACTATTCAAATATTAAAATGAGTGTTCTTATTTTGGGGTAATTTTTTTCAAGTGACAAAACTGTTCTATTAGTTATTTCATAAAACTATTCAGTTTATAAAAATAATATGTCCTTATTTACATTCATATCACTTTTCATTTCAAATCACTTAACAGTTCTTATCCATCTACTTATTAATACTCAATATGCCCTAGTGAATTAGAATTTTCTAACCAGTTTTAAAACTGGGTAAACTGAGTCCTTGAAAGATTCATTAGCATGATCTGATCCATTAAGAAAATAGAACCAGTTCCAGGATGAGAACTTTGTGTTCCTGGCTGACAGTCCTGTTCCCAGACCACGAAGCCGCACCTCTTTCTCTCAGAAGTGACTATTCCACAGAGGAATGCGAGCAAGCTCTGAGATGTTTGTCAAACTACCATTTGAAACTTCATTCCCAGGAAGAACACACCAGCATGCTCAGATTTACAAACTGCTTACATGCCATGTACCAAAGTAATTGAATGAACAGAGTCATTACAACTATAATGCTATGCAATGTGACTCTTATACCAGAATACTAAATGAAACGAGGCCTCAAATTAACATTATTTGACACACGGTTATTGGTTTAACATCAGTTAATCTGAGGCAATGACTGTTTTCTTAACCTATCGCCCTAGATTTTTAAAATCTCAACTTAGATATTCATAAACACTTACCAACAGGTTTGGAAAGACAATGTGCAGATCTACCAGTACTAAACAGTTCCATCTCTAGAGTACCTA